TCAACAAGCGGATTGGAAAGGCGTCAACAACTCTCTCTAGATTGTCGAAGAGAGTGTGGAACAACAACAAGCTGACATTAAACACTAAGATCACCGTGTACCGTGCCTGCGTGCTTAGCACTCTTCTGTATGCCAGCGAAACTTGGACCCTGTACGCCTCTCAGGAGAAACGACTAAGCGCCTTTCACATACGTTGTCTCCGTCGCATACCTGGGGTCACCTGGAGCGATCGTGTGACAAACAAAGAGGTGCTTCAACAGGTCAAAATTCTCAGCATGGTCACACTCCTCCGCCAACGTCGCATCAGATGGCTGGGCCATGTGCATCAAATGGATGATGGACGGATCCCCGAAGACCTTCTCTACTCTAAGCTTGCCTCAGGCAGAAGATCAATAATACGGCCACATCTTCACTTCAAGGATGTCTGCAAGCAGGATATGAAAGCTCTTGGAATAGAGGTCAACACCTGGGAAGAGCTTGCCCTCGACAAGTCCAGCTGGCGACATGCTCTGTACACAGGTCTGAAAGCCAGCGAGGAAAAGTTACGACAGCTCGCTGATGAGAAAAGATCTCAGAGGAAGAGGATGCAGTTCCAACCAAGACCTGATTCATACTTCAAGTGTAGCAACTGCAGCAAGGATTGCCACTCCCGTGTGGGGCTTTATAGTCACAGAAGACGCTGCACGGCTACAAACTAGGACACCTTTCATGGGCGCATTTCCATCGTCTCTCGAGACTAACGGAAGCCAACCAAGTGTTAGCTGTTTATAATGATTTATTATCTGCCTAAAAATAGGGGTTATCCTCGTTACTGTGTCCCGTTATGTTTGCATTTTATCTTTAAATCTATTGCTATGTATGGTACTGGTGAGGGAAAATGTATATTGGTCAGTAAGTATGGGCGCTGGTCGGTACCATTATTTATTGGTATGTATAAGTTCTAGTTGGCAAATATAGATGCTGAGCATCACTTTTTGTTGGTCATTTGACACGATGATGATCAGTAAATATCGGGTGTTGGTAATTCAGATGGTTTATTTCTTCAACATTACATTTCACTTTGTTGCGAGACAGATCCATAATTTGAAATATATGGCTTTTTCATATTAGTCTTTCTTTGTCTCTATATAGTTTAATTTCAACATTAACGCAGTAATATTAATGTCCATTGTCGATATACAACTACAACTATAGTGGCGGTTTCCCATATTGCTACTTCCCTATATATCATCGGGTACATCATTTAGTTTTCTATGTATTTTTCTTTCGTCGTATTAAACAATTTCCAGTTATGATTATTGCTGATTTTTTTTCTGAAAAAACAGATGAAGGTAAATTGTCACATATTTTATACAAGTACAACAATACCTATATCTTCAAACTTAAAGAAAAAATACTAAAATGTTCTCTAACCTTTTAAAACAAAGAGACAACGATTTCAGGTTAATTTACAAAAGGTATGAGATAAAAAAAAAACGAATCTGCATCATCAAAGATCAATAGCTACCCCAATCTGTATCCCAGCAATAAATCCATTAACATCGTAGAGCAACATTACAGAAGGGTCGTGGTCTTTCCAATATCTCTTGCCAACAAAATGACTTCTAGCTGAAAATGTGAAGTATGTAACAATTAGAGTATATACCAAAACATATAGCTGAAAATGTGAAGTATGTAACAATTAGAGTATATACCAACCCATACAGCTAAAAATGGGAAGTATGTAGCAATTAGAGTACATACCAACCCATATATTGCATAGATAAATTTTGAACAATGGTGCAAGCATATTCAAATTAAATTACATAACATGAAAAAGAAAGGGCTTAGAAGTTATCCCTGCTTTACTTAGAAGGAACCTTCATTAAGGTCTGCGACTGCAAGCCTCCAACTCAGAGCATACAATCTGCTATCACGAGAGGATGAAATTATAACGATCAAATAAATCTAATCGTCATCTTCACTGAGATCAAAATATTTAAATGGAATTAAAAAAACATTCTTTGTATCATGAAAGGAATCTGAAAAGAGACAATTAGCAATGCTTGAAGTCTCATTTTCCAGGTTTTCACTTACCATTGCAACCAGACTTCATCACAAACCCTGCCGATTTGGCGTCATGCTCTGTTCGTGGCATTGAGGCATAGTTGTACGGGTTCAACGGATTCATTCCCCACGTTGCTAAAATAAATACATGCATTAAAAAATTGCTTCTGCAAATCAAAAAAATTTTTTAGAATAATAATTTTCTCAAATGTTGCTATATGGAAATATTATAACCTTCATAGGCTACGATGCAACCCTTTTTTTTTCAGATGATCAAAACCTTTACGCAAGTTCTATGTGGCTCATGTCATGAATATACTAGATTGCTAAACAATTTTGATTTTCAGCATAAAACTGTAATGATTCACAACTTAAATACATCTGTGTAGAATTAGAAAGATTATCTCGACATGTGGTGATAAATTCGAGGCTGTTTTAAACTGTCTCCACAAGAATAAGACAAGTGCTTAGAGTGTCGAAATAAAATATAATGATGACTATAGAACATAATGTTTTCGGATCTCGTGAATATTTCCATAGTAACGTTAATAAACAGTTTAACATTATTACCGTCTCTACATAATGGTTTTAAGAAGGCCCAGGATTCAAAATTGCTAGACGATGTGTAAATCAAATATTTATATGAGTTAAAACAGCGTATATCTTATTACATTACGTGTTGTATCCTGTGATGGTGTGATCTGTTTTGTCTGATAATATATGTAATATTCATAATGTCATATCTCCAGCTATGTAAGAAGTTGACAGCTGTGGACTAGTGTGTGCAGTGATTCTAGTGACACAGCACCTGTCATACCGCACGGCACGTGTAAATTTTTTCTTGATCACCCATCTAATGGGTGTGGTGAAGCCACGTTGTGATCTGTTTGAATATATATTTACGACACATCAGCAAGTTCAGGTTATATCATTGCGATGCAATAGGAGTAAAGTGTCTTATTCAGACTATCAAATGTGTACGTTTAGATCACTCCGCCGTACAAGAATTATTCAAAGGTTTATAAACTATTATTTATGTCACCTTCTAAAAGGACTTATTATTTAAAAAAAAAAATCAATTGTACCACTAATAAGAAAATCATTGACTTTAGATAGGTTAATGAAATAGCTTTGTCAATATGATATTCAGCCTATTGCTGAATTTGATAATTTCACATTCGAATACCTGTCAATATTGTTCTTACCCCTGAGATTGTCCCATTTTGTCTCTGAAAGATAATATAAAAGAAAAAACGAGGTAAATTTTTAAGAATACACTAGAAATGAAAAATATTGAAGCCATCAATAAATGTGATAATATTTTGTCAGTATTAATACACAATATTTTTGTGTTTTTTTTGGAATTGTTTTTCAGTAAATTTCTAAGGGTCGTATCTGTGCTACTTTTTGGAAAATATGTTTTGTACGTATTGTCTGTAGTAATTAGTCTCTAACTGTCCAGTTATACAAATTATGAATACGTTTTGCTTTTCTAACACTCCGTTTAATTGCTCTCCTAACACTCCGTTTAAAGAAAAAGTCATAAACATTTTCCATACCTAGTCGTTTGGTACAGATGGCATTCGTTTCAATTTGCTTTTCTACAAAATCATTCTCATGAGTTTAAGACAGTGTACTTACGATGGATGAGAAAACCTTGAGCCGATTGATGAAGGATGGCAACGAGCAGGACTAGGAATGAAGTCATTTTGTCTGTAGATTAGAGAAAGGGTAGATCGTCATATAAGGCTATTCTTATATGTCGTCATACACGTCTGGCTGAGATAAAGCAGGTAACATATTGTCTACATTTCACCAGATATAGCTTCGTAATCAAGTTAAACTTTATTTAATGTGTCAGCTGCGGTAAAACTTGGGATACTTCAATTATCAACATTGAACATGTTCACAACGCGTGTAAACATAAAGGTCGAAAAAGAAGCATTGTTTAAAGCAAATGTCGGTTTGGACAAGGGCAGGTTGCCAAGAAAATCTAATCTTTACAGCACACATATGCCTTAATTATGCTTCCCTCCAAACCTCTTCAGCTTTTCCTTGTAGACATTTGCTTATTAATGGTATTTACTGCCCTCAAGCATAGTATAACATTTTGTTAACTCCTGTATTAGTTATGCATTTTATTAAGACCGATTTGGTGTTTGTCTGTGTGCAAAATATATGTTGTTGTGGAAGGCATCATTCTAATTAGCATGAGGCTCACGTGTTTACATTCACTCAGAAAGTAAATTTGTAATTTGGTCTACAATGATTTTTCAGATAGACTTTAAAATGTATCGCTTTGATTGGAGACTATTTTCGAGAGCTACAACCTGATATCAAATACGTAACTTAGGCTAGAAATGAACTGCTAGCTTGGTTTATGTTTATAGGTATGTTTGATGCAGATGGAAATATCTCTAAATCGATATGGCAGAAGGGTAATGGCAAGCATGACATTTTATTGTAAACGATGGGTCTAGGAAAAGCGTTAGTTATGTGTAAAAGTTATCAGATAAAAAAGGAAGTCACCAGAATACCTTAAATCAACCTGTCACGAGGATACATTTTACAAAAACATAACTGTTTAATTTTGTTTGTATTTTTTTTTGCAGAAGTATCCTCATTTTTCTGAAATATATCATCGTCAAATAAGATCTGGTTTAGTTTTGATCATTTGTTTTTTTTTTCTTCTTTAGATTTCTCATATCTCAATCACTGTACAAAAACATGTGTTTGGAATCTGACGTAATAAGGTATTCGAAACATATACTTCATTTACAATTCAGGTAATAATTGAATTAAAACAAGGGAGTTAACTCAGTATTGTCATCATTAGCTATAAATGCTACATACTTTCATGATTTCACGACGATTTATTTAATGACGTGCCTGAGCAATATTGGCACACACACAAGCGAGGCAGCTGTTAGTACCGTTTTCATAAGTATTCGGTATGACTCAGCCTGAGATCGAATCCACGACCTCCCGCATCCAAGGCGGACTCTCTAACCACTAGGCCACCGGAGTGGTTGGGAACCCCGAGTGGCCTAGTAGTCGTCTATAGCGCTCTCCGTTACGGATCACTGCCATCTCACCTCTGTCTGTGTGGGTTTGTGTCTAAGATTCGGCAAATGCGGATAGGTGAGAAAGCTTGCCAGTAGCTTCTCGTATGTCGGTGATTCTTTCCGGCGGTTTCCTGGCTTCTACCTCCACCATTAATACTTGCCGCCATGTATAGCCTATCGTGCGCTGAAAAATGGCGTTAAGCCACACAAGAACAACAACAACAACAACAACAAAAACTGGAGCGGTTGAAGCAGCTGATTTTTGTCAGAGATTATTTACACGAGGTATCATGGATATTAATGTCCGTCGATCCCTCATCGATGAAATTGTTAATGATTATTATCACTGTAATTAAAGGTATACAATTAGACGCAATGACTAAAATAATACATACATAATGCTCATCGTGACCTATAATGGTCAGTTATACATTCGAAATTACCAACCTATAAAGCATTTTAAGGCGATGGACTCAGTGATGTTGTTCAGGGTCTATTCAGAAAGATATCCCCAAAAGCAATAATGATTGCAAAGCAGCTGGGAATGAAAGCTATTGATGTTGTTCGTGACAAGGGTATTCGTGCTGTTGGTTATGTTTCCAGTAAAGTATTCTCGGCTGTCACAATCAGATTAACAAGCTTCAATCAGTATCAAAAGATAACTGTGGAATAAAATAGCATTAAGCGAGAAAATATCGCATATGGTCCGAATAAACTATCATTGTTATAACGTCAACTCAGGCACCGCAATAAAGCCAATCAATCAAAGACCAGCGTACGACTTAGCCATTAAAGACATCGCTAATAAGGGTGGTATATTTCAACTTCTTGCAGTTATACCAACGTTGATAGCCGCTGCTTTATGTGCTGCTAGGATTGCTGCTGAGATGGCATTAAAGAAAGCAGGAAATGCGGTACAGAAATGATATATATATATATATATATATATATATATATATATATATATATATATATATATATATATATATATATATATATATATATATGAATAATAAAACTAAAATATTAATAATAAAAATATTTCTAATAAATAATTTTCTCAGAAATGTCATAATCATATATATATGTATGTATGTATGTATGTATGTATGTATGTATGTATGTATGTATGTATGTATGTATGTATGTATGTATGTATGTATGTATGTATGTATGTATGTATGTATGTATGTATGTATGTATGTATGTATGTATGTATGTATGTATGCATGTATATATGTATGCATGTATGTATGTATGCATGTATGTATGTATGTATGTATGTATGTATGTATGTATGTATGTATGTATGTATGTATGTATGTATGTATGTATGTATGTATGTATGTATGTATGTATGTATGTATGTATGTATGTATGTATGTATGTATGTATGTATGCATGCATGCATGCATGCATGCATGCATGCATGCATGCATGTATGTATGTATGTATGTATGTATGTATGTATGTATGTATGTATGTATGTATGTATGTATGTGCCTTAATTAGAATATAGCGGATTTATCTGCAATCAAACCATTTAAAGCCAGATTTGATCTTGATAAATACCTCAACTTAAAGTCAGTCTTTCGATGCAAGATCTGACTTCTACAAATAGGAATATAACTAATCGTATCCGTGAAGACAAGAAGGAATTCCGTGACGATGGTGTGGCGTAAGTGTGGTCAACATTCAGAATTATGTACAACACCAAATATGTCGCAGATGATACAATGAATTATAAACGGACAGCGATAATTATTAATTATCTTCACAACCAAAGGTATTTTATTCCAATAAAAGTTACTGTAGAGACAGACGACATTTGGATTATCCTTGACAAATGTGACTGTCCGCCCTACAGTCAGGACAGACTAGAAATATTATCACGCTAAAAAAATCCAAACCAGGAGCATTGACTGGTGTTGACAAACCATATTATGAACGAGAGTATCATGTGACTTCATTTGTTTATGCGATATATCCGATGAATGATAAACGTAACATCAATTACCTGATACCGATGACATTTTCTGCTTAAATTGTGTACCCGTGTGATTTACAGAACACTTAAAAAATTATACATGTGGAAACGGTTTAGAGATAACAGTGCGTCTACCAGCGTTGTTACTGACCTAGGAAAGAAATTGAAATTTCAAATAACAGTGAAAACGCAAACAGGAGAGTTTTTGTATAAATCGAAAGATTTATTAAAACAATTGCATGTTGACAATTTTGCATCATGGAGCGAATGGAGAATTAAACGAGATTATATACTTATTTATTATGAATCAGCTGACAATAATACATCAGGTGGTGAATGGAGAATAAATATATATTAATGAACCACTAAAAGAATTTTGAAAAAATTAATCAGGCCGCAGCCAAATAAGAATCAATTTGAGATAATGTGTGAAGTAATTCCAAACATTCCTATAAATGATTTTTGGAATTTATGGAGGCTTGCTGATCTGATAGTTGCAAGTAGAAAAATAGTTCGTGATACACTTCAACAACAATTAATTTTATTAAAAAATAATTTTTTTATATCTACCTGTACAATTTTGTTATGGCCCAACAGATATTCGACGACAGTATCGAAGTACAGATTCCTGGAATTAATGAGAAGTAAATTCTTGTACTAAATGATAGTGTTTTAGTTCCTGTCAATGCTGTTGAGAGTGAAAGACGGAGTCTGAAGCAAATCTCCATAAGATCATTTGCTCTTTTTTCCCCCTTCAAGTTCACCAGGTTCGTATAAATATCTTACAGTGTCATCACCTAACACTGGTTGTTTTGAGGGATCATATCGTTGTTTTGGTATATATTTCTTTTCAATTGCATTAGTAGGCTTCATAGAGGTTGCACGAGTAATTTTATTATTTAACTCAGCTATCACACTTGGTAGTCTTGCAATCCATTCATGAGATCTCTCCTCCGACTTAAAGTTGGTAGATATTTCCTTTGCATTTTGATATCCAAAAAATCGCTCAGCAAGTGTTCGAATAAATCGTTGAACGACTGCCTGATTACGATGAATTGCGGTGTGTCCTCGTCTGATTTTAACATTATATTATTTTTCACCAGAGATGATACGGTACAAAGCAATTCCTTGCCAGGATTAACCTGTAGTAGTTGTGGCTATTTTAGACCACCACGTTGCTTCAGTTGCTGTTTTAGTTGATAGAGGTTCATCTTTTTTATCTCTACTTGCAACGTCAACGCCAGATAACACGTATTTGTATTTGCGTGATCGACGTTGACTTGTTTTAACAGAATCATGTGGCAAAAACAAAATATCTTCTTGACGAGCTTCATGCGCATACCGAATTTTTTAGGTAGTCGTAGATAAATTTGCCTTATTGTCTGTCGTCCTAACCAATTTTCAGCAACAGAGTATGAGACAACTATTGCATCGGCAAGTTTGCTAAAAGCTGCTCTAATCCTCCAATACCCTCTTGGACTATAAAAAACCGATTCCTTTATTTTAATAATCTGTTGTTTACTTGCCATCCCTAGTACTACTTTATCTTTCATCGCATATTTTAATAGAAGGCTATCAAGTTTCTCTCTAACAGATTAATATTTATGGAATTTAATGCATGAATCAACGTCACATCTGTAATATACGGTTGTTGTAAATCTTTATTTTTATACGCAACATCATTATGACAAGGTCAATCAGTCGCATTTATTGTATACTTTCCAGGTCTTGGATGGTCTCGATCGTCAGGATGGATATCAAGTCGAGTTCCTGGACCACGATAATTATATTCATGTGAATGTTTATCTTCTGGGTATATAGCCCATGGAGTTCCTGGTCATTTGTCCTAGAGAAGCAGCAATATCACTACCTGTCTTCGTGGATTTGTCAGGGGAGATAAAATTGTATTTTTTATACCACATTTTACAGACTTGTCTGTAAGTGCACGCTTTTTATTTTTTTAGTTTTGTTATTATTGTTGTTAATCCACTGGCAGTGGTGCTCTGTATCGAACATAGTATAAATCCATATAATTATTATATTTGTATCACATGGATATCATTAATTTCTAGCGACAAGAAAGCAAGAACCAGTCAAGCATCATCTAGCATTATATCACGTGTATAATAACATGGGCCATCTGGGACCGGTAACACAATTATTACTTAATCTGATAATGAGATGGCTCAAGTGGAATACTTTATATTTAGCACCAATATATGTAGATGATCAACGATGTTACGAAGTACTTAAATATTTTAATTAAAATGCAAAGTCGTTGTATGAACATGACGATGGTAATAACATTGTTGAATTTTATCACCGATATTGATGAAGCAACATCTGTAGATCTATATGCGCGTATTAATAATCTCGTAGTATACGATGATGTAATGCTGGACAAACAACCAAGTCCAGCTCGGATATTTTCTCCAGGCAGACATAAAACACAGATGTGATTTATGTTACCTATCGAAATACAAATAACTAAGGTGATCAGAAACAATTATAATATTTCAGTTGTGTTTAATGGAATAGATAATCATATTTTGCAATATATATATTAACTTGGTGTTCTGGTGATATGGATATAAGTAAGTTTGAAAATTTATTTTCAGCGGCGCAAGCTGCCCCACATGGATTTATAACGATAAATTTACATGACCCTCGGTTACGATATCGTATAGGTCTCGCCAAAACGTTTGATTGACAGCAGCAGAGGGGCTGAAGAACCAAAATTGAGTGACCAGCAAGTAAATGAATCTCATACAAAAAAAAAATCCCACACACAAACGTCAACCCAAAAAAGCAAAAAAGCAAGATGAGCTAAGTCAATCAGCCTGCGTCCCTGACAGAGGCAGGAGTCAGGAAGTCAAGGAGTCAGGGTTAGAGGTTACTGAACTTATATTTTCATTTTTCGTAAGAAGCTTTACTTTTCATAAATAATATCTCAAGCAAGATGGTCAGTTCACTTTC